AACGCCGAATGTATGACAATCTTCCCATAAAACTTTTCAATTCCTTTGGATTCTTAGGTGGTGCAAGAGAGCATATGGCTTTGGTTTTCTCAGAATCCACATCTATACCACGCTGGTGTACCTAAAAGCCCAGGAACTTGCCAGATGAAACTCCAAATGCGCATTTCTTTGGGTTCATTTTTAACCCATACAGCCGGCACCTTTCCAGCACCCGCCTCAGAACTCCCTGATGACTTTCTCTGGTTTTGGATTTTACTACGAGGTCATCCACATAGTCTTCCACCTCTTTTCCCATCATATCATGAAACACTGCCGTCATGGCCATAGGTAGCACAGGCATTCTTAAGACCAAATGGCATGACCGTGTAGTAAAAATTTCCATAGGGGGCTCGGAAAGCTGTTTTTTCGGCATCCTTGGGAGACATCTTGATTTGATTATAGCCACTAAATCCGTCCATGAAGGATAGCATGCCTTGACCCGAGGTCGAATCAATCAAAATATCCATGTTGGGCAGCGGGAACTCATCTTTTGGGCAGGCCCGATTGAGATCACGATAGTCTATGCATATTCTGATTACCCCAGTTTTCTTCTTCACGGGTATGATATTTGCTAGCCATGTCGGGTGTTTGATTGGCTTGATGAATCCAGCGGCTAGCAGCTTTTCGACTTCCACCTTGATTTGTTTCTCAACTTCTGGATGAAAATTCCTTCGTGGTTGTACAACAGGTCTTGCACCGAGCTCAATATTCAGCGTATGACTTACCAAGTTTGGATTAAGGCCGGGCATCTCTTCATAACTCCAAGCAAACACATCTCGAAATTCTTTCAATAACGACACCAAAGCTTCCCTTTCTTCCCCCGTTAATTGAACACTGACAGAAATGGGTCTTGGGACAGAGGGGTCATCACTTAAATCAATTGTTTCCAGCCGCTCAGCTACTGCCGTTGAGCCATCTTGCATGTGCTTGGGTGCTGTCATTGGTTCTTGGAAAGGACAAGGCAAGGGTGCCTTGCCATCTAGACTCTCGCGGCTATCTGCTTGCATAGTTTCTCCACCATACTCGGGGCTTTCCCGTAGGATACGGTCAAGCCCCCAATCCCGTCATAAGCGATATACAGTGCGCCCATCTGGCAGCGTGACCTTTGAGCATTGAGGGTGATCGTAGGCATGGTTGTTGGCCTCCGA